ACCGTGAGATCGTGACCTGAGCCGAAGTCGGCCGCTCAACCGACTGAGCCACCCAGGCGCCCCAGTAATATTGTATTTTTAAAAGGATAACACATTTTGCTCTCATTTTGTCCAGGGGGTAGTCTGAAACAAATTTTGTGACCTACATATTTTCGATTTAGGCTTAGTAATTAATGTACACAATAAATAACTCCAACGCTCCAGCAATCTAGGAAAGAGTTTGCAACTCACAGTGTGAGCCAAATCTGCTATCAGAAGTGTATTTAGTTGTAAAACAGTTCCATATGTGAAGAACAAGGAATACAAACATAGGTGTACACTGTAATCAAATGCAAATGACAGTGTGGAATTAGGCAAATGGATGATTAAGAAGAAGGTATACTGAATAGACATGCCAATTCAAGGGAGATGAGTCTTCTGAAGACGAGAACACACTGGAAGGTGTTATTCCTAGCAACAATCTCTTTCATCTGTTAATCTGAGCAGAGCTTACATTTCATTCATACTTTTGCTTGCAGATCTTTGATTTGTAGTAATTTCAGTAGAATGAATTTATGCTGGAATTTGTTTTATGAATCTAATTTAAGTCACAAGACTCCACAAATAGCTTGGAGATATTCTCAAGGTTTTGGTATACTGCTCCTGGTTTCTGTAATTCAAAGGGGGCCTCAGGGCATTTCTACTTTTTTCTGATGTGTTTATGGAGACAAGATACATCCTTAAACTGCCTACCATGTACATTATTCACCTTATCTCCTTTCATGTAAACAATCAGAAAATTTCTATGTACTCTAGATTTCACTATGAGCAAAGAGTAGAAGAGCAAATTAAAATGCCTTTTTATGGTTCATCCTTACACTTTACAGAAGGCCAGACACTGATGACTTTTAAAGCAATTACATCCAAGTTTAGAATAGTAGTAACAATTTTTTTGTGTATGTGTGTCTTCCCAGCTATTTGCTATGCATATATAAAAGACATTTATTTTATTTTTACACAATAAAATCATGGTAGATCTGTATGATAGATGGATGTACAGAAGTAATAACAATTAATGCTATTCCCCTACTAACTAAACATTTATAGATCACTAAACACTTATAGATCATTTCTAAGGTTCAAAATAAGCTGAAAGCTTTAGACATTAAATTGTTTGCAATGGGAGAGCAGAGACTACCATCCCAAGAAGTGAAAAGGCAGAATACAGTATTTTTTCACTTTCAACTAAAGGTTTGTAATTCAAACTTTATCATAGAGCCATGTGCTTTGGTTTTTGACTTAGAAAATTCTTACTGTCTTGACCCTTGATGAAATTAAAACAGCTAATGATAACAAATTTTATAACGGTGGTGCATATTCTTTTATTGGTGCACAGATCTTTTTAAATGTGAAGGACAGTATGAACACTTTTTGCCAGAAAAATGTAAACATAAAAAATTTGGCATACAATCTTGAGGAATTCCCTGACTCTTAGACCACAAAATTGGGGACTTTGTAGAGTAAAAGAGTGTTACTAAAAATCAGGTGTAAACGATACTGTCTTGAGCAAACTGTAGGTATGCACTTACCTTTAGTTTACAGGTGAATCCATGGTTCCAGATTAAGGGCCCTGAAGGTTGCAGATATTTCAGTTTACCATACCCCCCCCCTTTTTTAAATAAGAAAAAGCACATTTACCAAAGAAGAGTGTAATTTTTAAGTGGTACGGACATGCATGAATAAGAACTGTTAGAGATGCATTTTAAACCTAAAAATATTTACCTTCACTGCAAACTCCATGTTTGTAGCTTTATGTATGCATCTCTTGCAAACAGAGTAGGAGCCAACGCCAATATCTTCTTTTACTTCATATCCATCAGTAAACTGAATACTGTTTCTGTGCAACTGCTACAAACACAATTATTTATAGGTTGACAAAGAGTTTTATAGTGACTATGGTATAATTCATAATAGTGGAATATGTTACTTGGTATGCACTGTTGATATTAACAATAAATATAAATGAGTATTGGCAAAAATAAAAATGAATCTTGACAGCATTTATTCTTCCACAACTGTATTTTAGCAGTGTCTACCATAAAATGTACAGCAAAAAATAGGCTAAAAAACTTGTGTTAAAAAGAAAAAACTGAGTACGTACAACAGAAAACACAGAGTTATTGATAAGGAGCTGAAAGCCTTGCCTGTGATTGAGCCCTATTCCACTCCCCAGCCAACGCTAGGTCCCTGAAGTACTTTTGCAAATAGGGAGCAGTGTGAAGCCTCCGGTACGGAAGAAAAGATTTAGGAGGATTCAGAATGAGAACATCTGGATGCTTGTCTCAGATGCACCTCTTGCAGGCTATGTAACCCTGAACGTGTGTTTTTTCAGAGAGCAATGATGATTAAATAAAATATTTGAAGGTGATACCTGTTATTGTCATTGGGGACTATCAGTAGCCATGCCCTCTGTTCTCTACCCTCAAGTCGGAGCTTCAGTAGACCTTCTGCTAGAGAAGCTGTTAATGGGTTAAGGACTAAATAACATGGGGTAGGATGGTGGCTAGCAAATGAGCACTTTCATAAGTATGCTGAGGGAAGTTGTGCTGCTCTTGGCTATACTGAAGGGAGAGCATCCCCTGCCACATCTGGTGTCTATGTACTTTGTATAGGTTAAAATTTGAATTCTGTAGAATATATGTTTGTGACTTCTATGTTAGGTAGAGAAGTTATAACTTATAAACTTCCTATACATCACATGCTTGTTACAGTAAAAGGGAGAGACTATTTCAACCATGAATTTTATTTAAAAACCAGTGCTTAAAATGGTTTTCTCGAAAGTGGAAAGCAAGATGACTAACCCAGGAAAGAAACGTTAGAGCAAAAGCAACTTCATCATGGAGCAAACTCAAGCACTAATTAGTACCCTAAAAAACAATCAATGCTTCAAAAGACATATCTAGCTCCCTCTATGATTAGGAAGATGAATTACATTTATCTTTCCATGATACTAGGATGGGAAGGAATAAATCTAATGGTTTATACTATTTGTGTTCCTCGAATAACATTTAATTTACTAGTCCAGTCTCCTGTTACAAACACACAGACATCTAGAAACCTGCTTCTGTGGCTTTTACCTCCTTCTCCAACTCTGATACACAGATGGGATAATGAGGAAGGGCACACCCTAAGGTAGTACCTACAACCATTTCTTCCTAATAGCAATGGGGATTCCCAATGAACAAGGAAACAAAACACGGAAAACATAAGACTGAAGTTCACTCTTATTTCTTATACATTTCTATGGTAGAAGTTGGCAAACTATAGCCTCTGGGCCAAATCTGTTTCACTGCCAGTTTTTTTTTCACAGCCAGTTTTTATAAATAAAGTTTTATTGGCACACAGCCATGCTCATTCACTTAGCTACTGGTCTATGGCTGCTTTTGTGTTACAATGGCAGATATGAGTGGTTGTGACAGAGATCAGGTAGCCTACAAAGCCCCGAACATTTAACTGGCCCTTTAGAAAGCAAGTCTGCTGAACCCTGTTCTAAGCTATCAGGGAACCAGGAGACCTCAGTTCATCAGAGCTGACCTGACAGAGTCAGAAGATGAAACAAACTAGGCCTGATAAACATTTTTTCCTGATAAACAGGAAAGGGTGGAGACAAGATGGTGATATATGTCTCAACTCTCTTAGAATTCCCCTTTTAAGTCAGACAGATATCCAGAATTTTAGTGCATGCCATCTTTTTAAAAGCAAATGAAAGGAATTTCTAAAAGCAATGTCAATGGTATAAAATTTCTTTTAAGCTGCCCACTTAAAATCAGATCAAATATAATCATCCACACAGTGAACTCTGTCTTACATTTCAAACTTTAAATTACTTATACATTCACTCACCTGCACAATTGAATGCACACCAACTGTCTGCATAGCTTGGCTTTCATCATCTGAGGTGATAGCAACAAAACTAAACCCCCGAAAAAGCTGATGTGCATTAGCACTGGGTGGAATGCCAGGTGAGTCTGAAAAGAATAATACATTACTGAGAAGGTAATACTTGAAAGGTAATTAAGGGAATAACTGTTGACAGTATGGCCTTTCTCACTAATTCTGGAATTTTACTTCTTAGGCACCCAGTGCTTCCAGGATAACTCAGTAAAATCAGCCCTGTCCTGATGGCTTATGGGTATCAGAGCTCTAACATCCTAGTTCTTCTGAGCCCAGAAAATAGCTAATTCGTTGAAGAATATAATAAATCGATGAATTACTGGGCTAATGTTATTGTAAATTAGCAATGATCCATAGAATTTTCTGTAGTGATGTAAATTTTCTTTATCTGTGCTGTCCAATATGGCAGCCCCCAGCCACATGCAGCTCCTGAGCATTTGAAATGTGGTTAGTGTGACTGAGAAACAAAATCTTAAATTCAGTGCTATGGCTCCTGGTCATGTGGAGATACATGTTCATCTACAGATAATTTAGGAGAAAGGAATTTAGGCCAGTAATCTTAATACACAATATCAGAATCTAGAAATCTAAACTACAAGTTAAAAATTACTGTATTTAGGGGCACCTGGCTGGCTCAGTTGGTTGGGCGTCTGACTTCGGCCCAGGTCATGATCTCACAGTTCGTGGGTTCGAGCCCCGCGTCGGGCTCTGTGCTGACAGCTCAGAGCCTGGAGCCTGCTTTGAATTCTGTGTCCCCCTCTCTCTGTGCCCCTTCCCTACTCATGCTCTGTCTCTCAAAAATAAACATTGAAAAAAATTACTATATTTATATATATATATTTAAGGATCAAAAGTAATATTGAGGAAAATCATGGCATGTAGTCCTTAAACTGTATCTTATAACATGACATATATTGTTATTCAAATTATTTATGTGGAATCTACTTGCATTAACAAAAACAGAAAACTACTTTTAAAATATAGTTAATAGTTACTATAAAAATAAAATCATAACAAATGTACTACTCATAAATGTAAAGACACAATTAAGCATACTAATATTTATAATCATATTATAAAGGCTAAGGGCAAAAACCAAATAGGCAAATCTACTTAAACATCAACTCTGCATAAAGTTCTTTTTTAACATCAGCTTCATAGTATCAGCAATAAATACTGTTTAGTGAATTTTAAATCAAGGTGACAGTATTCTACTGAAGACTTTTGCTAACTACCTGGGCAGAATACAATATATAATTGTGCTATTCTGAGATCTTTCCTCTATCAGGACAAATTGTAATGAGAAAGCAAAGTAAAACATTACCATCTATCACCAATTCAATGCATATCACTGTTTATGTTTTTGATAAAATTGTGCTGATGTATTAATTCAAATTTCTAAGACTGTCTTATAAAAATAATAAACATCCATCAATGCTTAACACAAATTATGAGGATACTGACTGGAAAGTTTTTTTTTTTTAACTTATTTAAATTTATTTTTTTTAATTAATTTTATTTTTTAAAATTTACATCCAAATTAGCATATAGTG